AGTAAGGTAATAATTTGAAAATTCTGGCGACAGGGTCGCACACGGCTAACTCAGGATTGATTGAGAGCAACGTTGGTGAGGCTCAGATTAGTCATGACCCTGGACGTGGGGATCAAGTCACCGGTCGCTTACATGAGCTTATCGCCGAATCTACTTGCTTGCACCAGAACCTTGACAATTTTCAAACAACTTATTGCTCCAATACTTCAGGAACAAGTTTATATTCAACACAACGACTGGCAGGGGTTGGTATAACGAACGACTATTGAATGGGTTTGCCCTTTGTATTTCTTTTCCCTGCGATGCTTTGAAAGAAAAGTATTGATGGACGAACGAGAACATGTTTTTCTCTTTGACACGTCATTTGTTACTTATACCTACTGTGAGTATATCAGGAGACCGGGCTAGGCTCAGAGTAGACTGTTACTTACAGCATGAGAGATCGTCGGCTTAGGCGTGGACGATGGCTTTGGTGGAACCGAGGACGTCGGTTTTGGTGGCAAAGACCAGGTTGGCTTGGGTGGTGGGGAGTAGCTCGGCTTGGGTGGCAGAGACCAAGTTGGCTTAGGTGGAGGAGAGTAGCTAGGGATCGGAGGTAGAGACCAAGTTGGCTTTGGTGGTACCGACCAGGACCAGGTTGGGTGAGGCACAGAGACCGTTGGGTGGGGTACCGAGACGGTAGACTTAGTCGTGGTCGGATGAGGCACAGAGACCGTAGACTTGGTGGTGGTTGGGTGGGGCACAGAAACTGTCGATTTAGTGGTGGTGGTTGGGTGAGGCACCGAGACCGTAGTTGGGTGGGGAACCGAGACAGTGGTCTTGGTGGTGGTTGAGTGGGGCACAGAAACGGTCGGCACTGTGACAGTGTGGTGCGGCACAGAGACAGTTGGCACAGTAAGAGTTGGGTAGGTATCAGCCTCGTCACGTTTCACCTACAAGGATAGGTAAGTTAAGTTTAACTAAACCCGCGAGTGCACTAGCTGACCTTTGGGACCGCTCCAGTGGGACTTGGAGGTGCCGGGAAGGAGAACGATCCAGTGGGGAAGCTGGGCCAAGAGAATGAGCCTGAAGGTGCCGGGAACGAGTACGAGCCCGACGGGAAACTGGGCCAGCTGAAGGAGCCGCTAGGGGCAGGCCAAGAGAAGGAGCCACTAGGA